TAGGCTTCTTGCTAGCGAAGGTAGCTTCAGCTTCTTCATACTCCTTGACTCATGTCTCCCATTCTTCAACATCGATCACCACCTCCTCGGGAACATATGGCTCTACACCTAGCGTGTTTGGCACAACGTATTTCGGGATATACGGCTCATCAGAATGAGTTGTAACACTCAAAGGTACATAAGATTCGACGTCAATTGATCGCTTAGCCTTCAACCACCTTATATACTCATTAGATGCCAAAAAGAGTTTCATTTCTCCTTCTAAATCTTCCGGCCGTTGTACTATTTGCTTGGTTGATCTCTTTAAAGAATTCACGAACCCATCGACCCTTGTTCGCAGCTCTTTACTTTTCTTTTCCGGTATAGGTCCTTGCGGTATCTCAAATGTGAACTCCTCAGGATGCCAAATAGGTGGAATTTGTTGAACCATTCCGAATTGTCGCATTACTCTTAGTGGGCAATAAGTAGTTCCGCCACTCAATCCTAGTAAAGGCACAAAATTACCGTCTTGGGTAGTAATTTGAGCTTCGGTTATCTTCGGCCATTGAATTCTCTATTGAAGCTGATCAGGAGTTAATGCTCTACTGAAGTTTGCCCACTCATGAAAATAGTACTTTGGCATTTTATCTTGGAGTTTCAAATACTTCTCAATAGGGTTGGTAGATGAGTCGATCTCTCGAATGCGCATATAACATTCCCAAGGCCGAATATGGGAGATAAACCATACAGCAAGTAACCCAGCTGAAGCTTGCAGTACACCCTTTTGTTGATTTTGGTATTTATTTAATGAAATGACGGTTTCTGCCAAGAGCATATTGGAGAAGTCCCATTTTAGGCAAGCTTGCCTATCAATTACCGCAATGAGAGTATTTAATCCCGTCCTTGATACAAGAAATAAAACGAATCCGAAGAAGGCTAGAATAAAAACCCTCGTAGAAGTGTTTCCCGTTTCTTTTGGTAATTTGGAGTAATTGTCTACCAAGTAAGATAGAGGAAATCTCCTGGTGTTTGATTTGATCAACTTTTCCACTTGAGGGGTCTTCAAGTTTAAAAATTCAGCTATAACACTTATGGGTTTCAATCCAACTGGAGGCTCAACGGTTCTTGACCCGAAATCAATTCAAATGGTTGCCTTATATTCTTCTAGTGTAGGTACCATCTCGTGCTCGCCCAATTGAAATGTGGCAGTGGTAACTTCCTAGAAATGGGATAATGCTTGGATTAGACTTACTTGGTACTCCAGGTTGATGAGCTTGAACAAATACCCGAGCCTTTCCCTTACGTATGCTTTGTTGTCCTTTGTCATGTTTACTCACCATGCCAAAAGCTCCTTCCTTGGAATAGGAATGACTTGTATGTCTAGTTTCCCCATTTCGATCTAAAGCATGTAAAAGAAAGTGATTATTATTCACCATGGATCACCAATTGATTTTAATGCCCCCATTTCACTTATATGTCCTTTTAAGGTAAGACGGAGGTTAAAGACACTTGCATGCCTCAAAAGTAATGCAAGTGTTATTTTGAATCCGTTTAAACCTTAAAAGAGCATATAGTTGAGATCATGGACAAATTCAATGTGTGATGTAAATGCCCATTTTGTCAAACTCCATTTAGACCATAAAGTCCTAAACTATAGTTTACAACTTCGAATACAATGAAGTGAACGAACAAGCATTTGAATTACATGAGAATCCGCCATGGACCTATACATTTCATCTAAAAATGAAAGAATGGTCAAATGAAGTATGACGCCCTAATCATGCATTCTAAAATGAAAGGGCATTTAGACCAAGCATTGAATGTCATTTAGGCATTTTTTTTAAGAATGTGCCAACTAATATGCATAGTTGTAAAAGAATGGAATGGAACGATACTTGTTTACCATGATATTTTTGTTTGGTTTTAGGTATACCAATTACAAAGACAAGCGAATGCAACCAGTGAAGTTTTGACGCCTAAAAGGGTAGGATATGCTAAAGGCTCAAAGTCATCACCTTAATGGACAAGGGATTCCATTCCAATAGGCAATCGGCCTAAAGTAATGGAATATTATTCCACCTTGGTGATCGGTATTGTATTTAAACGATCCCATGAGCAATCGGCCCATAGTTCCGCCTAAACACATACCTCCTAAGGGTAATCCTAAATGTAGCCGGGGTTGGGCCACGGGTGGTGTGTGTTAATGGTGTAGTGCTAAAGTAATTTAAAGACATGCATAGCAATTAATGACCAAACAGCACTTCTAAAATTCATTCAAATCACATTCAATTCCAACACCATCCTGCAAAATAAGGGTTAGCAAAGACAACACCCCTTATATCACCCGCCTGCAAAACCATTTAACACTATCATTAGCGGGACGTACTTGGGATCCTTGCAAGCACAAAACACAGGCATATCGTTCTATCTAGGCCTAAGTCAACTTAGAAAATGTTCATTTTCCCCAGCGGAGTCACCAAGCCTGTTGCGCCACATTTTTTTTTTTTTGGGTTTTCGGGATTTGCGCGCTAAGGAGGTGTTTCCGTGTAAAGGTCTCTCCCAGACCATACCTCACGTGACAGCGGAAGGTGATTTCTTATTTAGTCTAGGTTTGTGATTTTGGAGTCGCCACTAGTCATTATTGGTAGTTAGACTAGAAACCTAATCGAGGTACGGGAGAAATACCACGATTCTACGAACGAGAGATTCTAAGTACGGGGACTTGATTACGTTATTGATCTCGAATCGAGATCTCTAACGCCCTTTCGGTACCTAAGAATGATACGGTATCTAACGTGTCATGCAAATTTCCGAGATTTACCCACTAATTCTATCCATTCTAATCGCAGAAAGAACCAAACAAGCATTAAATGCACAATTGAAGTCAATCAGATCAATCAATCCTAAATGGTCTCTAAAAAATGAAAATCAATCAAAACATCCAAACCCTAATGAAGCTCTAGAAGCTTATTCATTTCATGATTTGCATTTTTTAGGGTTTTAGGGTTTTTTAGGGATTATAATCCCTAAATTTAGGATTTTCCAAAAATGCTGCTTGGGCACTTCCAAAAATTCAAATTTCACTTTTTATGGTTGGCCACGATGTTTTTGGACCATTCTATGAATTTTTAAATTTTTTGAATTTTTTGAATTTTTTATTTTTATTTTTATTTTTTTTTATTTTGATTTTTTTTTCAGAAATTTTATTAACCGAGAATTAATTTTTCATGATTTTCTGAAAATTTTTATGAATTTTCCAATTTTTCAATTTTTTATTGATTTTCTAATTTTTCACATTTCTTATTTGTAATTTTATGAATTTTCTGAATTTTTATGAATTTTCTGAAAATTTTTTAGTTTTTATGAATTTTCTAATTTTTTTTTTGTAAATTTTCTGTTTTTGTGAATTTTTTTTTCGATTTTCCAAATTTTTTATATTTTTTTTATTTTTGATTTTTTTTATTTTTATTTGATTTTTCTGAATTTTTATGAATTTTTTTTAGATTTTTTAGTATTTTTAAAATTTCCCGCCAAGAAAATGAACCGGACCGGCCCGATTCGACCCGGTTCGGCCTGACCGAATCGGGTTTCGCCAACGCCGATCGCCGATCACTTCCTTCGGCGAGCCCAACGCCGAAACGGCGCCGTTTTGTGTGTTTTTCATTGAGGCATTTTCACAAACACCTAATGGGCATGGTTCGGTGTTAAACGTTCTCGAGACCGCCGGTTTGTGATCTTCTCCGGCGACCTTCCTGTGAATATTTTGCCATTCCGATTGCACCATTGTTATGTCTATGTATTCTATTCTCGATCTAGCCTACTCGGAACACCGGCGGACGTTCACCGGCCGGCGAAATTTAAGTCCGAAAAAACCTAATCCATTTCTAACTAAACTTTGCATTTTCAGAACTTAAACTATCACCATGCTCGCCCTAGCCGTCTAACTCGATTTCAATCTAGTACAAAAACATCAAACAAGGTCAAGAAAGCTGACTTGAGTAGCTTAATGCCACGGGGAGTGCTCCGGTGAAGTTTCCCGAGCTCCGGCGAAGGTTTTTAATGGCGGATTGACACGATTTTGTTGGTTTACCGGCGCAAAATGCAATCAAACAATAGAAAACATGATTAGAAACTAGTTCTGAACATCAAAATACTGAGATTCATCGACGAAATCACACAAACATTCATATTGGGATTAAAACCAAATTCTGGAAAATTTTGAAAAAAATGACTATGAGCCGACTTTTTCTTCTTCGTTCGATGATTAAAAGAGATTTCCGAACTGATCCGAGCCTCTATAGTTGTTCCTTGACACTTGAACTTCACCCTAGTAGCTTCTGATTCGCCAAAGTAGGTCTCGGTGCGCCGGACGGAGCTCGTTTTCAGGCCTTCAGGATCGGCCGAGTCGACTGGAACAACCAGGGGAGAGTCACGGCCAATCCACGATTCGCCGGTGCTCCGCCGTCCACGGCGGCACCGAACACTCGTGAGGGGACTCTCGACCCTCTCTCTCTAGATCCTTCTCGTTGATTTCACCTCTTTCTCTCTCCTTTCCCTCTCTGGCCTTTCGTCGAACATCTCCTTTGCAATGTTTAGTTTTTTTTTCCTTTTTGTTCATAAAAAATTCCCGCCCAAAGTTTGTTGGAACCGACCTTGAATCGGTTAGGGTGATTCCCTGGTGCCAGCTGGATATTTTCCAGCTGGCCAAATCGATTTGCACGTGTTAAATTAACCGGAAATGATCGGTGAAGTCGCGGGTTTGAATTAGAATTTTCTGGGTTTTGTGTGTTCTGGGGCGAACCGGGTAGGGAAGATGAACAACCCGGGTCGGGTTGGGTCGGGTTGACCAATCGACCCGGCAGACTCGGGTTGATCTAAATTCACAAATTAAACTCAATTTTGACCCAATTTTCAAAATTAAACCCCGAAATTGAATTCCCCATCATATTCCGAACCCAAATATGTGATTTTCCTCAATTTTTGTTATAATTGTGTCCAAGATTTTCACATTTTTGTATTCGGGTTAATATGATTTTATTCAATTTGATGTCCTAATGACCTGATTAGGCAAAATTGATGCCAAAATTGAATTACCCACATCTGATTAACCCTAGAAATGATGGTCTCATATTTCGACAATTTCATATTGGGCACGATTCCCAATTTCGGTTTAAAATTCTTCATTTTCAATTGATTTTTTGGGATTTTTTATTTTTATGTCAAATTGTGCAATTGGACCTACCATTATGTAATTCAAGGTCCCAAAATCATTTGTTGTGAAGACACTATAACTTAAAAATGACTAGAAAAAATTTAATTGCATTTTTGGTTCAATTCGGGTTTAATTTTGCCCAATTTTGGGAAAAACATATACCCGATTGAAATTTTTCAAAATTGATGATGTATTCATGAAATTGGATTTAAAATAAGACTGATGACTATTTTTATGGAATTTTCTAATTCCATTTGCTATTTTTCTTGATTTTCTCACTTATTTTGACTAAAAGAAATTAAGGAAAAATGTAGAAAAATGCTTAAAAAATATTATTTTTGGTTTAGAAATAGGTTTCTAGGCTTGGCCAAGATTCCTAGTCCTAATTTTGAGATTTTTGAAAATATGAAAAAATGAGCTAAAAATTAGGTGTCAACAGGGTTCGATCCCTAACGTTGCCACGCCGGAAGTAGCAGGGCGATGCCCAGCTAGATTGAAAGACCAGCGGGGGTTCGATGTGGCCCGAGGGGTCGTTAATAATCTGGACAACTACGAGTGTTATTTGCATTGGGGAATGCTTTGTGTTCAAGAGTGATATTTGAGTATGTCTGGATTATTAATTGTTGATATGCATGTTTATGCAATGCCATGATTTGTTTGTGTTTGGTGACCACGTGTGATATGGTGATACCGTTGGGTGTTTGTGAGAACATATATTATGTTTTGCAAATTGGTTGTTCTAAGGAAAGGTTTTGCTACTGAGTTACCATGATAGATAGGATTGCATGATTAGGGTGATCCGGAGGTACGTGTTACCCTAAGCGAGGCTTAGGGAGTTTACTTATTGAGATTTATTCTCATTGTTGTAATTCAAACCTTTCAAACCCTCGACCATGAACATGAACGACCCTCTGCAACGTTTTGGGGTCCCAATGGATTTAGAGCATATGTTGGCGGAGTTTCCAGTAGGTGAAGATACGTTGTATATTAGGCCTCTAGTAAGGCTTGTTTGTTGTGCCGTTATAAGTAACGTTATGTTTATAAGTGGTTTGTTGTTCTGTTTCATTTGTCTCTTTATTATCCCATTCAATTGAATGTTGAATGGAGTGTTGGAGTTGCTTCCGCATGTGTTGCTCTTAGTTCATTTGTATCGGGTTGGCGACTAGTCCTGGGAAGTCGTACACTTAACGACCAAGCGGGATGTTCCGAGCTCGTAGGGTGCGAGGCGTGACATCCCTATTTAATTGGTATCAGAGCAAGGTTAGCTCGATCCAAGTTCAACCGAGACCTGGAGTGATAAGGAGCAATGGCTTTTAGGATAGTTAGTTAGGGAGACTTGCCTTGATCACAAGTTTAGAATATTTAACGCATGTCCTGAGAGCATGTGCTTGTGATTGCTGGGTATTTTCGTGTTATTATTTAGGATTACTAACGTTGCAGGCGCAAAAAGGTAAGAGCTAGAACCTTGCTAATTGTGTGCTTGTGATACTTGTTTTAATGATTACTTGCTTGTGATTACTTGTTGTGATTTGCTGCTTAGAGTTGTTTCAGCTCGAGTAGTTGGTTTAGGTCTCTAATTCCTCGGTGGAATTATAGCAGGCTGTGTGAGATTGGAGTAGGATGAACAACTGGGGTAAAGGGACCAGAGGTCAGTCGAGTATGGAGGATCCCAGAGTGTATGGAGTATTGCGAGGCCTTGAGGCGATTGGACAATTAATAGGATAGCAGGCTCAAGAACGAGCTGTTGCTGCGGTTGCTGCTGCCGTCGTTGCTCATGATAATCTGGGGAACAGGAATGGAAATTTTCAGATGCATCAAGTGATAGAATAATTTCTGAAACTTAAGCCACCCAAGTTCGATGGAAAGGGTGATCCCGAGGCTGCCACTCTTTTTGGTTGAGGAGTTGGAAAAGGCTTTTGAACTTCTAGGGTGCAAGGAGGAAGAAAATGTGACCCTGGCAGTGCATCAACTCCAAGGTAATGCAAGTGATTGGTGGAAGGCCACCCGAGGTAGAATCTTTCCGGGAGGCATGGTTCAGAACTGGGATGCCTTTGTTGAGGTCTTTAACGGGAAGTACTTCTCTGAGAATGCACAAGAAAAGAAAATGGCAGAATTTCTGCGGCTTCGTCAGAATCAGATGACCGTGGATCAGTATGAGGCAGAGTTTACAAGGCTGTCTAAGTTCGCACCAAGAATGGTCAAGAACCCTGTAGACAAGGCAAGGAGATTCCGAGATGGTCTGAAACTGGAGCTTCGTAGTCAGTTGATACTCCTGAATCTAAGGGATTACAATGAGCTTTATGAGCGGGCTCAAATAGTTAAGAGGGATATGACTGAAAGGGCTGCCGCATCTGGATCGCGGTACGCACCGGCAAGGGACAATCGTAATTTTGGAAAGAAGCCTATGATTGGTAATAGATGATTTGTCCCTCCTGTCCGAAAGAATATTGGGAAGCCGATATTCTACTCTAGTGCCCCGTGTTGATCTTGCAGGAGGAGGCATGGGAATGTTCCTTACCCTGGCAGGAATGGAGTGTGTTATGGATGTGGCCAACATGGTCACCAAGTGAAGAATTGCCCGAATCGACAAGCTAGGCCACCAGTGCAATCACAACAACCTAGAGTGGGACAAACTGGGAATGCTCCACAGAACAATCAGAATAGACCGCAAGTGCAAGGAAGAGTATATTTGATGGCAAAGAAGGAGGTGGAGGATGCGCCTGGCGTGATCACAGGTACGGTCTCTTTATGTGATCATGCTGCCTATGCTTTATTTGATCGAGGAGCATCGCATTCATTTGTGTTAGAACAGTTTGTTAGATTGACTGGAATTGAACCGAAACCGTTAGGAGTAATTCTGCATGTTACCACCCCTCTAAAGGATGAAGTACTAATTTCAGTAGGATGTTCGAATTGTAAGATAGTTATTGGTGGTAGGGAGGAAATGATAGATTTGGCAGTTTTGACTATGTTTGATTTTGATGTTATTGTTGGGATAGATTGGCTTGTTAAGCAGAAAGCTGTGATGGACTGTAGTAGCAGGGTGATCCAATTTAATCCGATTGGTCATCCTAGATATGAGTTTGTGGGAAGTCGAAGAGAAACCTCGATCCCTTGGATGTCATCGCTTAAGGTGACTAAACTGCTCGATGAAGGATGCCAAGGTTACCTAGCAACTGTGGCTGACTCGTTGGTTGAGGAGCCAAGGCTAGAGGACATAGTCGAGGTGTGTAACTTTCCTGATATCTTTCCTTAGGAATTACCAGGATTACCACCTGATAGGGAAGTGGAATTTGTAATTGAGTTGGCAACTGGGATGGAGCCAATCTCTAGAGCGCCCTACAAAATGGCATTGTAAGAGTTAAAGGAATTGAAGGTTCAGATGCAATAGCTACTGGATAAGGGATTCATTCGTTCGAGTTCGTCACCATGGGAAGCACTAGTGTTGTTCGTAAGAAAGAAAGATGGGTCATTGCGTTTATGCATTGACTATCGGCAGTTAAACCAGGTAACCATCAAGAACAAGTATCCATTACCAAGAATAGATGACTTGTTCAATCAACTGCAAGAGGCATTGGTATTCTCCAAGATAGATTTAAGAACGAGCTACCATCTACTAAGGATCAAGAAGGAGGATATACCGAAGACGACATTTCGTACAAGATATGGACATTACGAGTTTACCATTATGCCGTTTAGATTGACTAACGGCCTAGCTGCTTTTATGAATTTGATGAATCGGGTATTCAAGGAGTTCTTGGATCAGTTCGTCATCGTGTTCATCGACGATATTTTGGTATACTCGAAGAGCTTTGAAGAGCATGAACAACATTTGAGAATGATTCTACGGACCTTGAGAGAACACGCACTCTATGCTAAGTTTAGTAAGTGCGAGTTTTGTCTCAATTGGGTAGCGTTTCTCGAACATGTGATCTCCGGGGATGGAATCTCGGTGGATCCAACTAAGATTGAGGCAGTTACGAATTGGCCAAGACCTATGACAGTGACGGAAGTTCGGAGCTTCCTAGGACTTGCAGGCTATTATAGACGATTCGTGGAAAGGTTTTCCACGATAGTCACTCCTTTGACTCATTTACTAAAGAAGGAAATAAGGTTCGAATGGACGGATAAGTGCGAGAGGAGTTTCCAAGAGCTTAAGCATAAGTTGACGATCGCCCCTGTGTTGACAATACCATTAGGTCCTGGAGGATACGAGATTTATAGCGATGCATCGCTAAAGGGATTAGGATGTGTTTTAATGCAGCATGGAAGAGTTGTTGCATGCGCATCGCAACAGTTGAGATCTCATGAACTAAACTACCCGACTCATGATTTGGAACTAGCGGCTATCATCTTTGCACTGAAGATTTAGAGGCACTACTTATGCGGAGAAAGGTTTCAAATCTACACGGACTATCAGAGTTTTAAGTACTTGTTTTCCCAAAATGAGTTGAACATGAGACAGCACTGATGGATGAAACTTCTGAAGGATTACGATTGCGACATTCTGTATCACCCTGGGAAGGCTACAAAAGTAGCGGATGCACTTAGTCGGAATCGAGCATCGCGCAGATGATGGTTAAGGAATCGATTTTATTGGAAGGAGTATGTGATTCGGAGTTCAATTTTGAGGTAGGTCACCTATCGAGCTTGTTAGCCACCTTAAGGATCGAATTGGAGATTCAAGCTAAGATTAAGGCATTACAATCTACGGACCCTGAAATTCAAAAGATTATGAGTATGGATATAAGTAAGAGAAAATCTGACTTTCAAGTATCCAAAGACGGGATCTTAAAATTTCGTGGACGATTATGCGTTCCCAATGACGTTGAGCTTAAGGAGGAAATCTTGGTTGAAGCTCATCGTAGTAATTACAATATTCATCCAGGCAGCACCAA